AACTTGTCTTTTGATATATTTTAGTTTCTTCTTTTGTAATACAGCATTGACTTCATTCAATTAATTGTAACTTGTACTGCCTCAAAACAAGGCAGTGGTATTTGTTTGTTAATGTATCAACTTTAATCAATAACCACTTTGTAAAAAAGCTATTAATATTTTCATCTTACTGTATTCAACATAATAAGTGTCCAGGGCACTCTCAAAATTAGAAATAGGGGCTCTTATTAGAATATTATTTTGGTGAAAAAAATGGTGAGTTGAAAGATCGTAAATTTCGTGGTTTGTGCTGACAGCCTGAAATGTTTACATACGACAGATATATTTTTCCAGAATTTAACTGCCTATGATTAAGGGTGCATATAAGACACAAGTGCGCATTATCGGAAGAGGTGCTAATCATGCTAATTGGGAGTGAGAGTGAGTTTGGTTTTACGCCGCTTTTAGCAATATTCCAGCAATATCACGGCAGGGGCTTCACATATTGTACCCATGTCGGGATTCGAACCCGGGTCTTCGGCGTGATGAGCGAACGCTTTAACCACTAGGCTACCCGACTGCCCCTGCTAATTGGGATTGTGCACTAGCCAGTATATCAGCAAATATCGCAGCGGGCGCTTATTAGAGCAGGGCACTTATTACGTCGAATATGGTATGTATTTTAACTATGCTAACACTTAGCTCACAGTTCCTTTACTTCACATGCTTTAGCTGATTTTCAGTAGATTATTATTTAATGAAATTGTGTTTATCTATTGAAATGATGTTAGCATTATATATTCAGCACCTTCATTTCAAACCAAAGCTGGTGTTAACTTTTAAAAATCTTTTCAGGATTGCTTTTATCACACTTCCATTTATCAATAAGACCAATTAAATGTAACTCTTATAAATAATTCCATGTTGATGTTCCCATCTTTCAAAGTGTTCCTTCGTACCAGGATTCTGTTTGAGGCTACTGTTTCCCAATATTCATGCTCATTTTGTAGTTTGGTGTCTTTTCTCGTAGCTATTTTGACTATTTGAGTTTTGAAATTCCCCACATGCTCAATGGTCAGTGTTGTACCCACGACGGTCAATATTGAAATTACCGTCCCCCTATCTGATGTTTGTAAAGCACCCCCTGGTGTCAGTTGGTCAGCCTAAATCTGGCATAAGCCGTGGCCAAAGTTTGGTTCAGCCACTGATTAAACACACTGGACTGGACTGGACCCTGGAACTCAGGTTACTCGTAGGTTATTTTCAAATAGCAAGTCTTCGTTAAACATCAGTTCCTTTGTTGCTCCTAGGCTTTGCATGGGCATGCTGAAGGTTGCCTGTTGTAGGTTAATCCCGGTGGATTGTCGACAAAGGTCTAATGACATCATATATACTTGTTTTTCATGTGAACAGTTATGGCTGACAATATGAAAATTTGTGTCGCATAGAATTATTTATTACATTGTTTATTATTTGAGGGCCATTGGGTGGCAAGTTTGTCCATCATCCATTTGCAATGTTGGCATCAACAAATGTTTCACATTTTTCCAGATTTGATTCATATTTTTAGATGAAAGTCTGTGTGTTTTGGTCATTGTAAGGTTCTCTCTCAGAGTATGAAATATCTGGGTTTTCACTATAAAGTTAACCATGAATTCATCTGTACTCCGGGACATTCATGTCAGGAGTCCAAAACTTGAATGTGTTTGTTGTTTTTTTAACGCCGCACTCAGCAATATTCAGCTATATGACGGCGGTCTGTAAATAATCATGTCTGGACCAGACAATCCAGTGATTGACATCATGAGCATCGATCCATGCAATTAGAGTGAAGGTGAAATGCATCAACTAAGTCAGCGAGCCTGACCACCCAATCCCGTTAGTCGCCTCTTACGACAAGCATAGTCGCCTGTGTTGAATCTGAATGTGAATGTCAAAGTTTTCTGCGACTTTACAATTTGGGCATATCAAGTTGGTCAAACAAGGGAACTTATCCTACCTACCTTTAGAATTTCAGTATCTTTGACTATCTGAACAAAAATTGAATAAAACTTTAGTGTTATTGACCGGAAGGTTTAGAAGTGATCGTGATGTAGGTCTTGTAGTTCTTTGCCATCTTCTTTTGAAAACAAATATGGTTGTTGTTGACAAATCTCAGTAATCAGCTGGGCATTGGTTGGGGGGTAATATAAATGACATGAAGGAGGGTCATGAAATCATGTAGCTAGACTTTCAGGCCTCACACTAAACACAGAAATTTTTCTTTCACTTTTTGAAATAATTGCAAAAGAAATGGAAAAGGGGAAGAGGGCAAATCTGGAGTCCATGCAAGCTGATAATTCAAGAACCATTTCATTTCTGAGAAAGGGTTGATATATTTCGGAAACAAAAGTTTTATATGGGCATATAATTGTCCCGTTAATGGGTTTAGGCACTAACATGAATAGCTTCATGAAATAGAACCTGTCCATCCTGGCAGAAGAGATGCACGTGTTGAAATAATGATTCCCTGGCTGAACAGATGACTATTCCTGATGGGCCTGTTTAGACTCTTTCAGCCTAAACTCCACCCCAGAATAACAATCTTACAAGGACAATAAATATTATAATGCATTTGTAGCGGCCATAAAATTTCCGAGTCCTGTGATGGGATTCGAACCACTGACCTTCTGATCAGAGATCGCCTTGTCCACATGACCAAAGAGGTTAACCCCGTCTGCAAGCTGACAAGGTGAGGATGTCATCTGTGGGATGAATACACGCCCTGCTACATACTCCCTCGTCAACGCATAGTAGGGTACTGAGGCTTACTTTGCTCAAATTTAATATGAACGTGCTCAGCCCCACGTTGGGTGCCAATGTAGCGTCCATACAATTTCTGAGTCCCGTGATGGGACAACGGACCTTCTGATCAGAGGTTGGATGTCTGTCCACATGACCAAAGAGGTTAACCCCGTCAGCAAGCTGACAAGGTAAGGATGTCATCTGTGGGATGAATCCATGCCCTGCTACACATTCAAAATACATTTTTTTTCTTAATACCTTTTCAAGCGAATTTGAGTGGTTTCATTGTTTCGGTTTCGATTCATTTAATTGAAATAATCTGTATAAGCAGGTTCTATACAGTATTTTAAAAGGCAGCTGGAAGAACAAATGTAGCAATCCTCAGCTGAGATGAGTTTCACACTGAGCAAACATCACAAATTCTAGAAAATATCTGATCATCACGCAAAATAAAAATGATTTTACCTGGTATGGTGTCTCCATTATCAGGACAATGAATTGGAGGTGTATAAACATTCGTGAACATGTTTCATATTCAGCACTTCGAGTTATGTCAAACACTCTTTGTACAGGAGTTGATTGGCAAAGTAAATATGAGATCCTATCAATAGTTTAGCTGCTTTGAAGTATAGTGTGTCGTGCAGAATTAATGTTTTTATAAAGTAATTTTGCAGGGGATCTGAATGTTGAGCTACATAACATGTATGATCAATAAATGGGAGCAAAAAGACATCAATGTACGAGTTGCCTTAGATGTTTATTAAATGATTTGTTTTGCATCAGAAATAGCATGCTTATAAACAGAATACCATGTTCGATGTAATAAGCGCCCAGGGCGCTCTCAAAATTAGAAATAGGGGGCTCTTATTTGAGTTGAAAGATAAATTTCATGGTTTATGCTGACAGCCTGAAATGTTTATATACGACAGATATATTTTTCCAGAATTTAATTGCCCATAATTAAGGGTGCATATAACACACGAGTGCATATGATACGCAAATAAATAAGTCTTGTGTACATTGATCAATCGGAAGGGGTGCTAAATGGGATTGTTCACTAGCCAATATATTAGCAAATATCGCCATGGGTGCTTATTAGAGCCTGGCGCTTATTATGTCAAAACGGTATTGAGTTTTCTAACTATTGGAATGAAATGTGTTTGTCCACTGCGATCTTTCATTACCAGTTAGGTTCGGTGTGTAGCAATACGTAGCAGTGAATAGTGTGCTTCATTATCAGATGCATCTATGAATAAAAAAATACCAATTCTGTGATATTTTTTTCTTCAAGTCCGTAGACCTATTTCAGTAATGAAAATATTGATAGTACCCAGTGGGGTAACTTTTCATTACACATGCCAAAAACAACAATTTCAAGACATTACTGAAAAAATAATGTTTTTGACATTTTGATATGTCCTTATTTCGACCAACCAAGAATGATAAATGTAACCCTTTGGTTTTGATTTATTTAATTAGTTAAACGACAAACATCGATAACATTACATTTAGCCTATATTCCAGAATGTATGCTCTTTCTTAATTTGTATAGATATTCATACTTGTATCTCCCCAGAGAGCTGAAGGTCCAGGGTTCGATCCCCGGCCGCGTCATACCTAAAGACGTTAAAAGATGATACTTGTTGTTACCCTGTCAGGCACATGGCATTAAGGTGCTCAAACAAGAGCTGTACGGCTTGGAGTCAGTATACTGTGTCTGAGTGGGGTATTCATGTTAAACTGCGGCATGGTATCTTGGTGAGCTAGCACTATAAATCGGCATCAGTCCGGACTAGTACAAGCAGCCACACACATGCGCATGCACGTCGCTATATAAGTGCAATAATCCTTGATGTGATGTCATACCCCATTTCACCTCACCTCACCTCACCTCACCTCACCTCACCTCACCTCACCTCACCTCACCTCACCTCACCTGAAAAGAAACAGAGATTGACAAAAACCAGTAATCAGCCGGGCAATGTTGGGTGAATATGAATGGCATAATGGAGGGTCATGATATATGTTACTAGATTTTCAGGTCTTATCACTAAAGACAATGTTTCATATATTTTTTTAAAATGTTTCAAAAATATGGAAAAAGGGAAGAGGACAAATCTGGAGTGTGAAAATAGTTGTCTGACCAAATCTAACAGTTGGAGATGGCGATGTCACTCTTGTGAAGCTATGGTTACAAGGTCGCGGAGGAATCATTGACACATTGTTCTCTGTTACAGGTGAGGGCATGGAAGAATGGCCGATGACCATTTTGAGCGGATGGACTCTCAAGACTACACAGATATCCATGGAAGACCATATATGAATTCCGAAAGAAACTCGGACTATGTTGTGCGACAAGATGGGTACCGCAACATTCTCCTGTGTGCCACCTTTGTCCTTGAACTTCTCATTCTCACCTTTGTCATCGTGTTGGAGTACTTCCTAAGGTCAGTCACACTTTCACAATGAGTGCTTAGAAAATTAAGCTGTGGCTTTTCTTGCAATGTTTGGGGACTTAAGCATCCGTCCGTATTAAGCCGAGGAAATGTCTCCTCTGAACCCCGCCTAAAAGGAACCAACCATTCAGTATTTTCAGGGAAAGGAGGGACATGTCGGCAGAGTCAAATAAACTACCCAGGTATCTGACCCCCTATTAGCTGACCCTACCCGGGTACCTGACTCCCTGTTACCTGACTCTACCCGGGTACCTGACCCCCTGTTACCTGACCCTACCTGGGTACCTGACTCCCTGTTACCCGACCCTACCCGGGTACCTGACTCCCTGTTACCTGACCCTACCCAGGTACCTGACTCCCTATTACCCGACCCTACCCACTTACCTGAACCCCTGTTACCCGACCCTACCTGGGTAACTGACCCCCTATTACCTGACCCTACCTGAGTACCTGACTCCCTATTACCTGACCCTACCTGGGTACCCGACTCCCTATTACCTGACCCTACCTGAGTACCTGACTCCCTATTACCTGACCCTACCTGGGTACCTGACTCCCTATTACCTGACCCTACCTGGGTACCTGACTCCCTATTACCTGACCCTACCTGGGTACCTGACTCCCTATTACCTGACCCTACCCAGGTTCCTGACTCCCTATTACCCGACCCTACCCACTTACCTGAACCCCTGCTACCCGACCCTACCTGGGTACCTGACCCCCTATTACCTGACCCTACCCAGGTTCCTGACTCCCTATTACCCGACCCTACCCACTTACCTGAACCCCTGCTACCCGACCCTACCTGGGTACCTGACCCCCTATTACCTGACCCTACCTGGGTACCTGACTCCCTATTACCTGACCCTACCTGAGTACCTGACTCCCTATTACCTGACCCTACCTGGGTACCTGACTCCCTATTACCTGACCCTACCTGGGTACCTGACTCCCTATTACCCAACCCTACCTGGGTACCTGACTCCCTATTACCCGACCCTACCTGGGTACCTGACTCCCTATTACCTGACCCTACCTGGGTACCTGACTCCCTATTACCTGACCCTACCTGGGTACCTGACTCCCTATTACCCGACCCTACCTGGGTACCTGACTCCCTATTACCTGACCCTACCTGGGTACCTGACCCCCTGTTACTCGACCCTACCCGGGAACCTGACCCCCTCTTACCCGACCCTACCCGGGTACATGCTTTAGGTCTCAAGAGGAGGGTACAGAATGTCAGATTGGAAATTGTTTCTGACCAAAAAGTATTTATATACATGTATGAATTACTTGTTTTGTAACCATGGAGTTAAAGTAATTTTTATCATTAAACAATATATCACATGTCTAACCACGGGTCTGGGTAGTCCTGTGGGTACCTGGGTCCTATTGAGGACCCATCTAACCTCAGTTCCTGAGTTACCAGTCCCACCCCAACAAACAACATCTTCGTCATGACAACCACCATGTCCAGTGTACAATATTATTTTTTAGGCAAAACCTGAGGCGAAATTATCGTTCTCCATTCTGTTCAACAAATCGTATTTTCTCCCAGCCACCCATTGTGTTGTGTTTTGTAGCAACATTATCATGATGATGCAATAGAAGATTACTGTGAGGCTTAGACCTTGCCTTGTGTCATGTGTTCCCTCAGGTCAGACTACCGCCTCTGCCAATATAAGCACTTTGTATAGACTGTTACACTTTCAGCCTCCTATTGAACTACACATTGATGGCATTGATGGCATGTTTAGGCTGAGTTTCAAACATGACTTCAAGGTTGCAAGGAAAGTAAGGTGTGATACGAGTTCAGATCCAACACAAATCTGGCAGGATTGAAATAGTGTCTCGGGTGTGTACACGTTCTGATGCAGCAAAGCAGTCATCACCCTTCATATGATACTGAGAATTTCACATTTCTGTCAATTAAAACTGGCAAGCTATTTGTATTTTCTAAACATTAGGACAGGCAGTATAAATTAACATTCTCTCCTATAGCTGTATGCCTGAGCTAATCAAATATGGTTTCATCCCAGCTATGCACATATAGGAAAGCGTGACAGTTTGAGTGGTGAAGATCATTTGACCTCGGTCTATGGCAGACAATAATCTGTGACAGACTGTCATGGCAGAAAAACTGCCATCTTCCCGAGGCAAGGGAGTTAACTGACTATAAAAGTCCAGTTTCCACCCTTGGCGAACTAGGCTGGTATTATGGAGTTACAATTTGGCTGGACTAACGAGTCTATGCATAGTCCAATCAAAATCGCGCACTGAAATCGAAATCAGGTTCGTAAACTGTCATGCAGATTTCGATTGATTGCAGATTTGCACAGCATATGCACGGCCAATACGTTGTCTACAGATATTTTCCAAATCTTTTCAAGTTTTTAATCAAGGTGCTCACGTGATTTGATGCACTTAGCGATGTAAGACCCGTTTTCTCACACTATAGATCCTGATTGTCGATCAGATCGCCTTGACAGGGCGCCGCCATTTTGTTTGAATCAAATGCAACGATACGAGAGGTGGAATCTGATTGTTTCTTAGGAGAGGCATAGAAGGGACATAACTCGTAACAGCCACTGGTGGTACTACGATCGAGCCCAGGAATTCCAGCCTAGTTCGGCAAGGGTGGAAACTGGACTTTTAAAGTCAGTTAACTCTCTTGCCTCGGGAAGATGAAAAACTGCCTTTTGTCAGATACACGATCATAACATCATGTCAGCTTGTTAGTCTTGTGCCTCAATCTTCTGTTCCTTTAGCAATCTAGGGTTCATTGTTGTGTAAAGGTGATGGTGAAAGAACCATCTAGAACCTTCCATCATAGACACATATCACAAAATAATACTGCCACTGCACGGTGATGTATTGGAAACCCTAGTGTGACAATACTATGGAAACATTAATCTGCCTTATTTCATGCTCACAGATCAGCTTTGTCACGAATTGACAACAGTTGTAAAACTCCACCAATGTAATGGAGAAATGTCCCGAACTGTATCCAGATTATGTCAGATGATGTTTCATAATTAAATCACTTTGTCCTCAATATTTGTTAAAAAAGATACACATTTAATAATCATACATGAAAATGTCACGTTTTGGCAACTGTGTGAAACTCCCACATGTAATGAAGAAATGTCCTGAACTGTATCCAGATGATGTCAGATGATGTTTCCTATTTAAGTTTCATCATCCTCAATATGTGATCAAACAGATCCACATGTATTAGTCATATATCGGAAGGTCCCACATGTAATGAAGGAATATACACGCAGGATGAAGATGATGCTGGACATGGTCCACATGGTCCAGAAGATCCAATCAGGAACAAAAACTGTACACAGATCACAGATTCAACACGGAAAACCACACTACCACTAATCCAACCATATATATACAAATACTGTATATTTTAATTCAAATGTCTCCCTGCAATTGTTAAATTACTTGGTGTCGTCACTGGAGTGTGTAAATACATTATGACGTCACAGTTGTAATTTATGACGTCATCATAAGTATGACGTCATATTATATGTCATTGTCAGTTACACTGAAGAGCTGTCATGAGACAGCGAAAGGACAATGTCTGAAACTGATATAAAGAAGATGATGGACTAACGTGGACTTTATTATTTTATTATATATTACATGTACACCGAGTGAACATTTACCTCATTTTTGTGTGTGTGTGTATATATATATATATATAATCATATATAATCATAACAAATCAATTTTATAGGGAAATTATTATGATGGAATGGTCAGTCTCAAATATCATAGAACGTAAAACAATGATGACTATTTTATGAATGGATCACTGAAAATCAGTGTCTTTTTCCGACTGGTATCACGTGTTACGCAAACAATTTTCATTTTTAAAAAAACAGTGAGTGGGGATGTGTGAAAACTTAAAGGTCTTGGTGATGATGAGGAAGTGGGGATTGTGATGATGGCGAGGAAAACTCCCATACACATTCAGCACTAAGCACATGGTGATGTGTGACCTGGACAAGATGCCTTTGTTCAACCATTTATAGGCAAGCTGTTTCAAATTATTTGCCTGAAGCATTTCCCGTTTATATACTATTTGAAATAAATATCCTTTCAATAAAGGATATATAAAAAGGATATCCCCCACTGTTTGCTTGAAGTCGGTGACGGGAGAAGGTCATCAAAAAGACGACACATGGAACGTGGCATGTTAATATTGAGAGAATAGAAACACGCGAACATTGTGTTTCTGTTGACATGGGGATTGCCAGTTGACTGCTAACAGTGGGAAGAGTCACACATTGTCTGAAATGTGCTGTGTTCACACAACAGACTCATAAACCTCCCCAATCTACACTTATTTAAACACGTTTCTTTCACAAGGCCACAAACCAGATCCTTTTTCTTCAGGTTCCAGATTGTATGTTGGCCATGTATGATAAACAAAGGTTTATGTCTAGAGAAGTTGGAATAGATCTTCTTTAGAGGTGACATCTTTCACATGTTTTGTTATTTCGTCCAATTTGCCAAGGAAAGCCGGTTATCCCGGGATTTCCTTTCAATTGACAAAATCATATTTTGAGTTATATTTTTTAAGGCAGTGACGTTTAAAGTTTTTGAATGAAAGGGATGTTAGCATACCATGCCTGTGCTACTTCCCATAATAATAGCTTTTCATTAAAAAAATAAGACAAGGATGATCTTGACAATGAATACATGTATGTTATGAGTTTAATCCATAGTTGGGGATATTTACATAGATCAAGCAAACACAAACATTTGCAATATCCAGCAATTTAGAGGATAGATGCTATTTTGTGCAAATTGCAAAGTCAGCATTTTTTCTCATTTATGGTTATTTACATAGATCAAGCAAACACAAACATTTGCAATATCCAGCAATTTAGAGGATAGATGCTATTTTGTGCAAATTGCAAAGTCAGCATTTTTTCTCATTTATGGTACTGCTCTATTCGGTGTCCACTTTTAAAGAGCTGTATGGGAAACTTGTCACAAGTCACTTTGTCCTGAAGGAGAGGGACCTGTGTTTGGTTTCTTTCCATTGGACTTATGACGTTGCTGCTGCAAAGCGGGATGTTCCTGATGTCAGTTGCGGATGGATACTTACTGTACGACGTGTGGAATACACATGCAAAATATCCATTGTGTAGACCATGGCTGTGAGTGAGTGAGGGAATGTTGTATAAAGCAGTCGGCCTGTCAATCATCTGACCCAGGCAAATCGTGTGGCTGAAACAATGAGCAACAATCCACAATACTGGGGTTGGATGGCGCACAACCGGGCAAAGCTGATCTCCTGATCCAACAAAGTGAACCGTGGGGAACTTGGGACATCCTCCAATCTCATTAAAATCAGACTAGCTACCGCTAAACAAAGATCTGAGGACATCCCATTACGGGGCACGTCAGACTGACCTTGAGCGAATTTTGACCGACCAATGAAATGATTGACAAGAAGTCCTTATTAGCCAATCAGAAGGCAGCTTTCTCGTGCTTTACGGCACTAATTTCAAATTATATTTTGACAAATTTTCGATAAAAAATTTGAAACCTGAACAAAAAAACATTCTGGAATGGCTAATAGATGGTCTAAATTGTATGGATTCAATCGTTAAGCCCGTAACTATCGTTCGGAATACCCCACGTTAAAGTTGTCAGGGTTGCAAGATTAGAAATCACATTCGGACTGTCACTTTCATGATCTGGTAAGCGACGCTCTGATTGGTCGGTTGAAAGGTCGTTCTGACGTGACCCCTAATGGGATGTCCTCAGATCTTTTTTTAGCGGTAGCGAGAACTAAGATCTGATTTTAATGAGATTAGACATCCTCTGACACAGACTCCTCCTGAGTGGAGAGTCGCATGGTTAAAGTGCTGTTGTCAGGGGTCGGAATTAATTAAAGGGAGACAACTATTTCCTAATCACATTTTTTGGAAAACAATTTTATCACCATTTTTTGTCCATTTTCCTCCCAAAATGTGCTTAATATCCTGTGTTAATCAATATCTACTACCAAAAAGCTTTTACTTTCATGCCAACTTTTCAGTTTTTATGGATTAATGCAAAAGATTTTATAACACTTGTAATTCTGTTCACTTACTTGTGTGTAATATGTAATTTTGTTGTTGCAGATGGACGGACATCTTCCCGCTCCGCAGACAGAACTTTTCCTGTACAGATCCTGAGATCTCTTGCTCAAAGGAAGCCCGAGCCCTAATGGCTGACTTTGCCTTCAACGCCCAGGTTCCCAACGAGGCAGTGTATGCTCTCAGCTTCTGTGTACCGCCTTTTGTTGTAAGTATTTGTGCCCACAGTATGTCCTTTAGTGTGCCAGTATGGTGTACAAGTGATTTGCTGGGCTTTCAACAGTTCATCTGATTATTTTGATAATTATTTAGTGTTAGGATGGGGGTTAAATCTTCAGATTAAGTAACTGTTTTACTACAATTGACCAATCATCAGTCAGTTAGCATCAGCTAGGTATGGTCTTACTTTGAGATCAAAATTATCTTTTAACTACTTTTCCTTGCATGGTAGGGCTGTCGGGTAGCCTAGTGGTGAAAGTGTTCGCTCGTCACGCCGAAGACCCGAGTTCGATTCCTGACATGGGTACAATGTGTGAAGCCCATTTCTGGTGTCCCCCGCCATGATATTGCTGGAATATTGCTAAAAGCGGCGTAAAACCATACTCACTCACTCACTTACTCCTTGCATGGTTCTTGTCATCAAGGGTCAGGCGTAAAGGGTTGAGGGTCAAATCCAGTGATCACAAGAAACCCCATGGAGCATCAGGATCGATTAAATATTACGCTTGTCCCAGATAAACTAGATAACCATACCTCCATGTCAGAATGATGGGATCTGATTGGTGATAAAATACTATGTATCCCACCTGGAAGGGAAATAAATTTTTGAGCTGGAGAATGAATTCCTTATACCTGTCTTTAACTTTTGCACTTTGATTGTGCTCCAAAATTCATTTCTTTGCAATGTAAATTTCATCTCCTGTGAAAGAGCTGAAGCTGAAACTTCACATGCTTGTAACCACTAATGATGATACCTTAATTTGTTGAAGAGGTGCAAATCTGATTTCCGCTATGAAACTTCTTATGGTCTTATGCCGCCATGTTTGTTTGTTTGAAATTTGGCTTTTGTGTGATTCAAGATATTTGTCACTGTTTTGTTTTTTTGCAGTATTTTAAATTTTGATGTTTTTTTAACGATGTTCTCTCAAATGGAATATATGGCTGTGTAAACTTCTTCTCTACTGAAATTGCCAGACAGAGGTAGCTGAACATCGACATGTCTGTTTCTCCTTATTATGACATCATATTTCGTCGCATCATGAGATTTTAGTGTAAGTGTTTAGGTGAGCTACATTGCTGTTGCACTATTTTTTAGTTAACAATACAGTTTATAACATGTAATGAAGCATTTTGACCTTTTGACAGTTATGTGCCCTTAGTTCAATTTGAAAAGTGAAGTTGAACTCTACACTTCATTGAAGTCTGTCATGGTATTCCAACTTCAGATATTTTCCAAATCTTTTCGTTTTGTTAATCAAGGTGCTCACGTGATTTGATGCACTTCGCAATGTAAAACCTGTTTTATCACACTATAGATCTTGATTACTGGTGTTAATCAGATCATCTTGCCAAGGCAAGCCATTTTCTTTGAAGACAATGCAAGTGATATGAGAGGTGGAATCTGATTAGTCCAAAGGAGACTTTTATAGTCAGTTAACTCTCTTGCCTCGGGAAACTGCAACATTTATATTATGGTATGTCTATGAATGCTGAGTCAAAGTCAGAGAGAAAATGAAGAAGGAATGTAAAGAAACTTCACTGAAGGCAGTCTATTGTTCACACGACAAAATGTAATCAGTTTGTGACATCGTGAACAATAGATGACATCACATTGTATGTTTCTCAACAATGAAGCACTGTGACATCATATGGCTTCGGGGGGCACGGGTGGCCCAGTCGTCTAAGGTGCCGTAATTCACTGTGCAGAGTTGCGTCCCTTGGGCATGCCAGAAACCTATGATTGTGGGTTCGAATCCTGGTTCACCTTGATTATGTTTCTAGGTTTGTCAGCACCATACCCGTGCTCGTGGGTTTCACCGAAGTGGTAAACGTCTGAGACCTGCATCACTTCGGGCTTTCCTAAGCTGACACACCGTGATGTAACTGGAATACTGTTAAAAGTGGTGTTTAACCCAACTCACTCACACACACTCCCTGTGTCTGTAGCAGGGTTAGCCTCTTCTGTCTTGAAGGACACCTTCACTAAAGCAGCAGTCAGCATGACATCAGCATCAGCTAGCAGGGTACGGAGACATGTTTGGTCCCACTGCATCAGGTTTAACACATCTTACCCCTGGGGATGAAAGGGCTTACAATGTCCTCTCACTACTGGATGAAGTTTTTAATTGGCAGCCGTGCTGTGAAGAGATTATGAGCTGGGTCAGATGAGGCGCCAGGATTCAGGGGATCTTTGAGAAGAAAGAACATGGTGGCACGAGTCATTAGCAGCTACGAGTGGAGGTCGACATGAAAACATGGAGTTTAACAACAGGGTTTAGTTTAAACTGTCGGAATGCTGAACACCTGCATGGGGTGTTCATGATGGTGTAGAAGATTATTTGTGTACTGTAAATCTTGAAATTAATGCCTCTCCAAATTAATGTGACTGCTGACCGCTTGCCAAAAACGCCACTCAGTATCAACACAGTTCACCCCCACCCCCACCCCCAGCCCCAGCCCCAGCCCCAGCCCCAGCCCATGTTGAATGCTACATACCTTAATCCCACCTTACCTCAATCCAATTTAACACAAATACCATCGCTCATTAGAACTGAGTAGAGCACTTCTGTCAAAACAATAAACAGTGTTTTCCTAAAAACAACACACAGTTGATATGTTTATTCTGTTGACTGGCATTAAGGAAGTTCAAAGGCAATAAAATAGTAGAACCAACAACAGTTCACTGATTGGTATATAATGCAGGGAAGGTATCAACAAACTTTAAGGCAGATGAAGGTATCCAACATGATAAGGTTAAAATCTATGCAACTAGCACAGTCGTGAAGGAGTTTATGAATTGGTGACCTGAAGACCCATTAGTCAGACGTCCCATCAGTCATGGCTGAGTGCACAGATAATCCCTGAACTGTTTCCTGTATTAAAATGGTTTTGTCATAATTGTGAGAGAAAAGAGAGCCTTGATTCATTCACATTTTAATCCACATTTTATCACAAATGCTATATTTGGGATAACACTTTCTTAGTAAAGTACAGATTCTAGTACTTTTTGGGGTTGAGTCCCATCCGGGATTTGAACCCACACTGCCAGTGTGAGGCACCTAATCACCAGCACACAAAGTCAGCGATCTAACCCACTCAGCCACCGAGGCTTCCACAAAAATGAAAGTCGAACAACTGGTAGTCTAGATCACATACTTTGACTGCTTTCTAGACTGCCAGTTGTCGGACATTTGACCTCTTTCTAAATGTCATTTTGGGTTCACACATTTTATTATGTGATTTTGCACATTTAATATCATAAATATTAAGAAAATGTACATGTTAAATGTCATAAATATGTTAGGCCCGGACCAGATAAACCAGTGATTGATATCCTGTGTAAAATCCCATGCCATCGGACTACACAGACGCAAAATCTACCAAATCTTCGAGTCTGACCACTCTATCCATTAATCACCTGTACACAAGAACGGATAACTAGGGACCTAGGGCTCTAGACCCTAACATCAGGGTCAAGTAAGTCCACTTGATGAAAGCATTTCAAGGAAAGGGTTAGATCAAGTGCAATTTCCACAATAACATCAGCTTCAGCCACATTGGTTGTGCAACACATGATGTAGGAACAAGATATAACTACTGGCTGTCATAAGTCACATAGAGTTGAAACCAGGGAAGATCCGGGGTAGAATAGGTCTTCAGCAACCCATGCTTGTCATAAGAGGTGACTATGCTTGTTGAAAGAGGCGACTAATAGGATTGGGTGGTCAGGCTTGCTGACTTGGTTGATGCATGTCATCACATCCCAATTGCGTGGATCGATGCTCATGTTATTAATCACTGGATTGTCTGGTCCAGACTCGATTATTTACATAACGCCATCATATGGCTGGAATATTGCTGAGTGCGATGTTAAACAAACAAACAAACAAACAAACAAGCAGTTGAAATCATATTCAGTTTGGACAAAAGAGAGTAGACAGCCATGTTACATCCACAGTCGGACTAGCAATTTATGCACCAACTGGATGTAAGGAAGAAACAGGTATTCCTTCAAGTGTAATACACTTGGCCTCAACTTGCAGACTACTGGCCATGTCTATCCACGTATGTCTGTCCTCCAATGAGCAGGTTGTCCATTCCTTCTATTCCTATTTTCAGCAAGGATACATCTTTTAGGAAAAAGAGGGTAAAGTTTTGTTCATGTTAAAAATATGTCACAAAAGACTTAGTTAAGTATTTTTGTTAGTTTTAATATGCTTTGGATACGATATGAATTAATTTTTGGTATTTTGAGTTGTGTTGTGTTGGTGTTTTGGGGATGTGCAGCTAGGATATGCACACACACACATGGATTGCACTATGTATCTTTACCAGCATTTATGTGGTTCCTCATCCTGAGGAAAATCCTGTATTTTTCTTAATTCATCCCCTTTTGACCAACCACAGTATGAAAAATTCAAGCATACAATATTGAAAAGCAAATAGCTAAGGAGCAAATTAATTGTTCTGTGTTCTTTCATTTATTTGTTATTTGTTGCCTTACAACATTTAACAGTGAAGATATAATAAATATTGAAACAATTTCGCTCCTTAAAATGTTGATACATAAATACAACGGGATGACAGAGAGACCCGTCACAGTGGTTGCTGACATAAGACACAGTGGTCTCGTACACAGGTGGAGGTAGTCACATTGCTGGGGGGAGGGGGGAAGGAGGTTGAGGGGGAGGGGGACGCAGATGTGCAGCAGTTCATGACAAGATGGGTGCCACATTTTTGTCAACCGATACCAGTCGCGGCCATCCACCCTAATCTACATTGTTACGTGTACCTGACTCAGATGATGTTGGCATGTTAGGAAACCGAGTTCCGAGGAGACTGACAAACACTGACTCACAGGGAGATGAGGTTCAGGGCAGAGAATGGCCCTGGGACAATCAAAGTACAGCTGGCGAGCCGCCATGCGATTCAGTCTGTTGTGATTTGCGTGATTGCCAAACACTGATGTTGACGGCCAGCAGGTTTCAAATATTGGCTATTTATCCTCTTTTGCAGGTGTTAATCGGGGAAATTGGGATGTACACCTTCAGTTCCGAGCCACAGAAGCCAGTAAGACTCCTCAGCAAACACTGTTCCATGCCGCAGGTCTGTCGCCGTCTGCTGCGGTTTATAGGTAATACAGCCATGACACCTGGACTTGGAGGCAGGGTGAAGGTGAAGGGTAAAGGCTAAACACGCGGTGGGAGAGGATTGGGATGAAAGGAAAAGGTCACAAGAGAGGTGGGGTAGAGTATATGTGAAGAGGAAAGGTCTGTGGGTGGGGCTGCTTGGGGTGCATGGAGTACTGAATGGTAGGTCGGGGGACATGTCTACTGAGGGTGGGTAGGTTGGGGATGCGAGTACTGAGGGTGGGTAGGTTGTGGGAGACCCGTGAAGATCTGGGGTGGAATATGTCTTCAGCAACCCATACTTGCCGTAACAGGATCGGGTAGTCAGGCTTGCTGACTTGGTTGATGCATGTCATCGATCCCAATTGCATGGGTCGATGCTAATAATGTCCATCACTGGAATATCTGGTCCAGACTCGATTGTTAACAGACCGCCATCATATATGGCTGGAATATTGCAGAGTGTGGCATTAAACAACAATCAAAAACAAAAGGTTGGGGTTTTTTTTAGGGGGGGTTGGTACTGAGGGTGGGTAGGTTGGGGATATGAGTAGTAGGATTGGAGTGTAAGTATATAACATCACCTCACAATAATTAAAAGATGAGAACAAATTTTACATTACAAAGAAACATGAGGGTGCAATTTATTTAGGTATAAAGCGTACTAAGGGTGGGTTAGTTTGGAGGCAGGGCGGAGAGTGAACTGGTCGCACCTGAGATTGTCTGGATTCCTTCAGAGTAAGACAAGAGTGGGAGTGGGTTTGAGGCTGGAGGACAAGGGAGACAACTGTGTTGTGGTTTTGGTGGAGAGACAGTGTTTAGGATTTAGTACCACAGTGAAGAAGTAAGAGTTTAAATTGGAATAGGGTTTAGAGTAGCGGCCCTCGTGCTCAAAGAGCAATTACTAATTATAAGTGAGCGAGTTGGGTTTGTGCAGTATTGCGGGGCAGTCGGGTAGCCTAGTGGTTAAAGCTTTGCACGTCACACCGAAGACACGGGTTCGATTCCTGACATGGGTACAATGTGTGAAGCCCATTTCTGGTATCCCCCGCCTTGATATTGCTGGAATATAGCTAAATGTGGCGTAAAACCATACTCACTCACTCACTCATTGTACAGTACTGCAGTTACAGCACTGCATGTCAGCTTATTGTGGGGGAAGGCTGCTAAGGAAGTATACCACTTCGGTGAAACCCAGGCTCAAAAGCATGGTTCTGCTGAACCAAGGATCAATAGGGTTCAATCTGGGACATGAACCCACAACTAGAGTGTCCTTCACAAACTAATCGGAAATATTCCATATTATGACAGTGACATTTTGATCACTGTGCTTTGATAGATAGTTTTGTGCAAGTACCGTATTCGACGTAATAAGCACCCAGGGAGCTCTCAAAATTAGAAATAGGGGGCTGTTATTAGAATATGATTTGGGTGAAAAACAAAAACAGAGTGGAAAGATCGTAAACTTTGTGGTTCATGCTGACAGCCTGAAATTATACAAAAGAAAAGTCTGTGTGTATTATACATGATAGATATATTTTCAAGAATTTAATTGCCCATAATTAAGGGTGCATACAACACACGAGTGCCTATTAAACATGAATAAATAAGTCTTGTGTACATTGATCAATCGGAAGGGGTGCTAATTGGGATTGTCCACTAGCCAATATATTAGCAGATATTGCCGTGGGCGCTTATTAGAGCGGGGCGCTTTTTACGTCAAATATGGTAGTTCAGTTCATGAAAGGAATCAATTAGACAGTAATCATATGTAACAACTATAGACATGAGTACATTCTGTGAAAGGGATTACAATGAAAAGGGATATTTTTTTTATCTCCTGTTCATTAATCAGAATTCTCTGAAGGGATACTTTGTAGGTTTGTTTTGTGCATGATATGATATTGACCGACAGCTTCACCCTTTCAAGTCGTACATGCATTAATCAACAACAAAACCCATGTCAGTTTGGCTGCAGCTCTTTATTGTATACCTTTGTTATGATTTACAGCTTCTCATTCTTCCATCCTCCGATAGGTGTCGCTTTGGACAGCACAGTGAGAATAGCGCCGAACACAACTCAATCCAGTTGAAATTATAGTCCATTATAAACAAAGTTTAAATCTGCAAAGAAAAAGCCGATCCATATTTCAATACTTTCAAACTTGGAGTGCCTTTTCCCTTTAAGTTTTGCAAGAGATTTTTCTGGTTTTGCTTTTTAATTTTCTGTATTGTGATTAAAGAAATTTGAATGTGTTATCATGTTCTTAAGATGTCTTGTGAAGCATATGTTTGCATTATTATAAATTCTGTACCAGTGACTTTTTTTTTATTAATTGTTTACGGTTCTGTTGGACATGAGCAAGCATATAACTAAATATAGCACTTATTGCACAAGGAAAATACTCTCTCTCTTTAACACATTGTAAATAAGACGCAGGGCAAACACTACCAAGAACCAGTCTGTTAGAATTAAGACTTCATTACGTAATAATAATAATAATAATAGGCTATTCATATTGCATATATTTCCTCACCACTCAGAGTGCTATTATTACCCTGGTCACTGGATCAATGCGCACACAAGAATCATTCTCAGCTCCCTGGGCAGTATACAATCTGACATGCAGTACCTCATACATTTGTTACACAGGGCTATTGAAGAACTGGCATGCATCTGTCATTCTTTGGGCCAAATGTGATTACCGGGATTAAATACAAAAATAATACCAATGTGGAGGAAATATTTCTCTATTAGAATACCGGTATGTAAAAAACAAAGTCGTCTTTAAAGTTCGCTGCTACTAACACGATTGGCCTCATAATGACTGTTCACTCAACATTGACATAGCTGTTTTATTATAGTTCAAATGATTAAAGTTTCTTATTGTTTGCTGTTTCTATAGTTACTTAGTTGTTATCTATTTCCCACTCCCAGGAGTGTTTCTGTTTGGAGCCTTCGCTCTGATGGTCTTTGTGGACATCATCAAGGTGATTGTGGGCCGACTGCGCCCCGACTTCCTCGAGGTGTGTCAACTGAACCACACCCGCTGCGTCACGACCGGTGGGGATGAGATGTGTCTCAACACCGACAAGTTTGACCTCAGAGAGGCCAGGTGAGTTTATCACTCCCTCATTGTTCTCAAGTTGCACTTTTTTTCTTCTTTTTTTCCCCCATTAGTTACATAATGTAGGAATTATTATAGCAGTCCAAGGAAATTGATGGAAAGTTTCTTATGTATGAATTTGGATATCAGGATTTGGATATCTCTGGAAAACTAATTAAAATAGCCTATATTTCTTATGTTAAAGTCTGAAATTTGTATGTTATTTGACAGGTTTTGGTTTGGTCGTATTTAGAACAATGAAGTCAGATGGAAATGCCATGAAAGAAAAATGTAAAAAAGATATCTTCTTTAACTTCCAAAACATCAAATTAATAATTGTGTATGCTGGTGGTTGTGATCCACAAGTAAACTCAGCATCTTCATCTGTCACTCTCACATTAACATCTTAGTCACTCTCACATTAACATCTTTGTCACTCTCACATTAACATCGTTGTCACTCTCACATTAACATCTTCATCTGTCACTCTCACATTAACATCTTCATCTGTCACTCTCACATTAACATCTTTGTTACTCTCACATTAACATCTTCATCTGTCACTCTCACATTAACATTTTCATCTGTCACTCTCACATTAACATCTTTGTCTGTCACTCTCACATTAACACCTTCATCTGTCACTCTCACATTAACACCTTCATCTGTCACTCTCACATTAACACCTTCATCTGTCACTCTCACATTAACATCTTCATCTGTCACTCTCACATTAACATCTTCATCTGTCACTCTCACATTAACATCTTCATCTGTCAATCTCACATTAACATCTTCATCTGTCACTCTCACATTAACACCTTCATCTGTCACTCTCACATTAACATCTTCATCTGTCAGTCTCACATTAACATCTTTGTCTGTCACTCTCACATTAACATCTTCATTTGTCACTCTCACATTAACATCTTCATCTGTCACTCACATTAACATCTTTGTCTGTCATTCCAACACAGAATCAGGTGGTCAGGCACACTGACTTGATTGATGCATGTCATCGTATCCCAATTGCTTCCATTGATGCTCATGATGTCAATCACTGTTTAATCTGGTCCAGACTTGATTATTTACAGACCGCCATCATATAGCTGTAATATTGCTGAGTGCGGCTTTAAACAACAAACAAACTGTCAAATCAACATCTTCATCTGTCTCTCCCACACTGACATGTTGTTTCATGTGTGAAAATCTCACTGTTCCAGGACTTCATTTCCATCCCTCAACGCCTCTCTGACGTCCTACTCCGCCATCTTTATAGCAGTGAGTCACCAGCAAATGTGTTTTATGCCACTGTTTGCAACATTTCATCAATATTGTGACAATGAGGACCAAGCATGAGCTTAATACATTGCACCGTATCCTCAATTACCCAGGGTATCTCCATCTTATTGTGAGAAATACCCTGGACCCATTCGCAACCACAGCTTCTTGTAGGAAGTGACGTGACCAGCTCCATCTCTCTTATCCCAAACTTAACAAGCATTTCTCTCACTCCTGACTTTGAAATCAACAACCATCAAAATGCCTCTTCTGAACACGAGTTCAGCGTAAATCTACTTTCAAAATTACATTCTCTTGAGAGAAATTCCTTGATATATTTAATTGAATCAAAAGACTGTTGTTTTAAAAGAATTCATAGCTGGAAAAGATGCTTACCGTATTTTCTTGAGTATAGTGTGCACCCAAGTATAATGCGCACCCCCCTCCAGGGGATTCAGTATTTTTGAGAAAAAACAATCGAATATTATGAGCAGAAAAAAATTACACCGTACCCCTTCAGCGAATTCCTGTAAACAAACAGGAGATAAGAAACTTGGCCAGTACATATTTGAAATTTGTAATAAAAAAACACCGGACATGTTGATTTACAGTTTAAATTGTATTTTTTGTTCTGCTAGGCATTGTTTACATGCAGGGATTAAGATTACCCTGTGTATTTTCTCGTAAGCTAAGCCGGAAACAGCAACACTTGAGTACAGGGGAGGGGAGGGGCGTTGTTTCAGCTATATTTGACAGTAGTTGAGTACTTCTGATGATATCGCTGTGTGTTTAAGGCATGAAAAAACAGTGTCATTGTATTATCTTATTTGTTTTGGCCTTGTCATTCAACCCAGACTCATGTCGCTGGTGTGTAAGGTGAGGTGAAATGGGGTTTAACACCGCATCCAAGATTATTGCACTTATATAGCGATGTGCATGTACGTGTGTATGTGTACTAGTCTGGACTGATGCCGAATTTTTAGTGCTAGTTCACTGAGATACCATGCCACAGTTTTTAACATGAATACCCCACTCAGACAAAGTATACTGACTCTGAGCTGACCAGTACTTGTTTTAGCCCCTTAATGCCAAGCGACAGACATGGTAACAACAAGTATAATCTTTTAACGTCTTTTGGTATGATGCGGCCGGGGATCGAACCCCGGACCTTCCGCTCTTGAGATGCTCTAACACTACTCAACGGAGGTGGTCTCTTAGTCTAAGAAATGCTGTGTTATACATGTTATATGGATATAAACCTAGGATATAATACAGTGCTGTCTGTTTGTCCTTGCATCTGTTTGTTTGTCCCTCAATTCATCACGTTTTGTTTCTGGAGCATAAATCGGAAATCGTTTAATATTTTATTAGAAAACTTTGCATATGTATCAAACACATGCTGAACTGGTACCTTATGGTATTTTCATATTTCTAAAAAAATATGTTTGGTGTTTCAATGGCAACAGACTGGACTTAGACTCAAATTACTTTTCCCTGAGCATAAATCATATTTTATTACAAAACTTTGCATATTTATAACACATGCTGAACTGGTGCCTTTTGATGTTTTGGTATTTATTAAAAAAAAAATGTGTTTCCTTGACATTGAACTGGACTTAGACTCAAATGCACATAGCATTCTTTTCTGGAGCATAACTCGGAATCCATTAAATATTTAATAATGAAACTTTACATATGTATCAAATACGTGCTGAACTGGTGCCTTTTGCTGTTTCCTTGGCAACAAGTTGGACTTAACTCAAATGCAGGATGCTTTTATTGCCAGAGTGTAAATTAAAAACCAGATGGGTTTTAGTGTTCATTTCTGAATCATATATCCATAGTTTAATAAATACATTATCCAAGGACTTTATACCAATGTTGACAGAGTACTGAAATTGTCATGCTACTTTGGATTTTCTACAAAAAGATCTTTGCAAGGTTGTCTGAGAACATTTAATTATAAATTTATGGTGAATATTGAAAAACCCACAAAACATAATTTACAAGAGGCAAGCGAACCAGCCTACTCTTTCGCAGTAGGGTTTAATTTATCTTAGTACTTGCAGATAGGCCATTCAAAGTTTCAGTCAACTTGTCAAGGCTGAGTTTAAAAATGTATGCCTGAATTTATTTTGCTGGAGTTCCCCTCACTTTCTCCTTGTATATTCACTACTCTATGAACAAACCAAAGATCTAATGTGCCCCATGGCGGGGATAATGACAACACTGTTTTATTGTTTCATTGTAAATGACATTAAGCTAAGACCAATTCAATGTCTTTTTCTTCAGGATTTTCATGGAAAACTGTTGCCAGGGCATATTTCCAGATTAATGTCTTAAACATCATTAAAGCATTCTAAGGAACAATAATAAAAAATTTTTGAAGAAAAGCATTTTTTTCAATCCAACAATGATTCTAATATTAGCTTCAGTTTTGAACTTTTGGAAATTTGAATCATTGGCTAAAAAACAAGAGAAAAATAAGTCAGCCTAATGCAAGAATTGCTGTGTCTTATGTCCTGCATTGTCTGCGATCAGATCTACATACATGGCGCCATGCGGGCACACACAGTGCGTATCCTGCGTCCGTTCCTGTCTCTCATCTTTATAATGCTGTCTCTTCTGTGTGGCCTCACGGAGTACGTCCTCTGTCGCAGCCACTGGACCGATGTCGCCACGGGCTTCGCCATGGGGCTTGTCCTGGCTCTGTATATAGTGAGTATACTCAGTGATTCTTGACAGTTGTCGCAGACTTTGAGTGCTGACAACAAACTCCAACAAAACGAAACTCTGGGATTGTCTCTGATTAGTTGGATGTAAAATATCAATTTGCATCTGGTATTATAGAGTTTCTATGCGAATGAAACTTCAGGGAAGAAATGAGTCACAAGGAACAGATTATTCATTATTCTGAATTTTGATGGGTTATTCTATTATAAGCGATTGTCATTTAGGCTTTAAAAAATAAAAGAATTGGTTCTCAGGAAATGACTTTTGAAAAGTGTGGGCGGTGTTTTTTTTTCTAGCTTGTTTAAACTAGTATGTAACCAAATAAACAGCTATGTTCCATCAACCTCCGAAAGGCCCCCTACATCAACAAGCATACAAACTCCTGTTGCTGCCATGATCATAACATGAGATCCACAGTAGAGCAGTGTGCATGTAAAGGGAAATAACTGTGTGCTATATTGGATTGCATTGATTTTAAGTATAAGGAAAAAAAAAAAACAACATTTAAAAGGAAATAAAAACGAAACTTGTGGCAGACTTTAGATGATGGGAGCAGTGTCTGAGAACCAAGAATATTAATTTTTTTAGCCTTAAAAAAGAAAGAAAACAAAGAAGAGTGTATGAAATGGCCAACCTGCTAAGAAAGTAAACTATTGTTCTGATGATATACTTTCATCCGTTTGTGACGTTATATGAAGGACTTAATATTGTTGCAACTAGTAAGCACTGATATTCATTAAAATGCACATGTGCAAATATTGAATTTTATTTCTTACGAGGGCAAACATATCGGATTCATAAAAATCATATGTGCCCTAGGGTCATATCAGGTCACAAGACAACAGTGTATTGTTTCCATCATCTAGACGCTATTGTTAACGTAATTTAAATCTTATTGTGACGAATGACTTCACATAAGAAACGACGTCATATAGCTGAAACATCATTCGACAAATTGTGGTTCCGCTGCTGTTGCGACTTGCTCTTGCTCTCCTTATAGATAAACACTTGTTCTTTCCATATGGGTAATATTTCCAAAATCAGATATGTTATGACTATGAGATAAAAGGTTTGTCCCTGCAAAGTTGTCTCCCTTGGTCTCTATTTGCCAGGAGTGACAGTATTCAGTGTGCATGAGAACCAGCCTCAGTGAAAACATGTCATGGAACACAAATAATGACCACACAAATCAGGGTGACTTAGTATAGTCAAACCCTGTTAATCCAGACACATATATACCTATGTATTGGTTTCTGGAAAAGTTGTCTAAATTAAAAAATTTAAATAAAAATAATGATTGAAGTCAGGTTTTTATCATTGTCAGATACACAACATTAGGTTTGGCAGTTTGTTATCAATTTATCTTTCACACTGATCAATTAAGCCTGCACAACAGCTGCATATGTTTCAATGGGAACTGGGAATGGCTACATGAAAAAGGTTTGGCTTAATGTCATCTTGTTTTGACGAATTGATTTAGTAGCATGATATAACAACTTTGGTAGAAGGCCTTGTCAAAAGAAGGTTTTTAAAGCAGGCGTCCCACAGGGTGAAGTCCTAAGCCCAGTCTTGTTTATTGTTTCATTTGTTTGTTTATTGTTTAACGTCGCACTCAGCAATATTCCAGCTACATGATGGCGGCCTGTAAGTAATCAAGTCTGGACCAGACAATCCAGTGATTGACATCATGAGCATCGATCCATGCAATTGAGTTACGATGACATGCATCAACCAAGTCAGCAAGTCTTTGACCACTCGATCCTGTTAGTCGCCTCTTACAACAAGCATAGTCGCCTTTTACGGCAAACATGGGTTGCTGATGACCTATTCTACCCCGGATCTTCACAGGTCCTTGTTTAATGTACAAATACTCATGTTGTTGCTGCTGCTGATAGTTCATTGTTGAAGAAGGTTGTCTTGTGGCTGTTCCTGACGAGGACTAATGGATGATGTTATCATCATGACCTCAAACATTCGAATTTAAAAGAATCAACTAGTTGAAGAAGTATTTGATACTTGAATATTACAAATTTAGAGAAAAATTGTTGTGCATTATGAAGGTGTTTAGAAGAAAAGTTGTTCGTAACTTGATGTTTTGATAATTATCAGAACAATTCAAAGTGTACACAAGCAGCAATTACTAGTTTTTATGATTCACAGAATGCCTTGGTCCAAATGTTAAGTTTAATTTATTAAATTTTGACATCCCTTTAAAATATATTGTCGGATATTAGGTTTTCGGACGTCATATGTTCATGGACGGCCACATTTATTGCGCTATATTGGGGGTGTAGCATCACACAGACATTGTAAATACTCAGATGACTGCTTGTATTTTAGAAAAAGTTGTCTTTTATAAGTGATTGAGATGTTTTTCAGTAGTTCATGTGATTAGAGAGTAAACTACATGTACAAATTTTTCTTAAGTATACAAAACCCCAAGCATGGTGATGCAAACACTTTATAAAATTGTCAATATCTATGTGGTTCTAGAACATGTGCACTACCAACTGTACAAGGCAATACCAAACATTGAATTGTATAGTTTCAGGAGCTGGGGTTAGAGTTTTGTTCATTTATAATTTATGTCATTCTGGGGTTAATGTCTCCTGTAGGTACAGAAAAGATAAAAAATATATATTTGATTTGTACTGACCCCCGAGTGCTCTCTTACTTCCAGGGTGTTGCTGTATTGAACCATTTCCAGGAGAACTTGTCCCACCTGAGGCTGATGCACATCTTCAACTCGTACCTGTCAGACAACTACTATTCATTAGATGTGAGTTGAGCTTGAAATATAACACATGAATTTTTGAGATGACAGGTTTGTGTGGAGGTGGATGTTTTTCAAAGTCTTGGTCACTGCCAATTCAAAATGCTGTTACTTCTTTTGAATTCACTTCACTATTTAAATTTTGAGAATTACTTACCTACCTCACTTAGGAACACTTTGTGAATTTTTCGGTTTACATGCTTGAATGACCAGAGACAAAATCTGCAACTTGAAAAAAGAATATAAATTGTTTGCTTTTATTTTTGTTTGCCTGACTGCTTAAACTTTGATGGATTAGAAATATTTAAAAATAACTACAAATTTTAACCATAAAATCTTTAAATAATTGATTTAATACATGACCCCTAAATATAACAATGCATGGATGCTAAGAATGATTGAGATATCTCTAGTTGGTACAAGTGTATCAATCTTCAAGGAATATGGGTGAGGTGGGGTGAAATGGGGTTAAACGTCACGGTCAAGCAACATGCATGCACGTGTGTGTGTGACCACTTGTACTAGTCTGGACTAAAGCCAATGCCCCACTCAGACACAGTATCCTGAATCCGAGCCGACCAGTCTTTGTTTTAGTCCCTAAATGCCGAGCGCCAGGCAGGGTAACAACAAGTACCATCTTTTAACGTCATTTGGTATGACGCGGCTGGGGATCATGGGATCTGCCGCTCTCTGAGCAGGCACTCTTTCACTAGACCACAGAGGCAGTCCAACTATAGAGACAGGTTGGAACACTAGGAATGGGTGATGGGGTGGCCTAGTGGTTCAACTGTTAGCTTGTTGTGCATTTGAGGGTTTGATTCCCCACATGGATACATCCTACTGTCCCCACTGTGATATGGTTCAAGTCTTATTGCAACAGTGATGTAAGACCATATGCCCTTACTCGTTCTCATAGGGGATGACAACCTAATATTTGAAGGGGTCCTAGGGTTTTGTTTGAGGCGGAATATTGTGTTCAGTCATGGCTTCAAAACATGTAAATATTTTCTCTGAAATCAGCAAGGATACAATTGTGTTTTTACCTACAACAGAATATATTTTAGACCATCTAGCATGTCCAGTGGACGATTTTATTTTAAAGCATGAGGATAAGTTAAAACTTAACCTCTTTTTCGGGATGACATTTAATTTTTTCTCTAAAGAACAGCTAACAATGGAATGTTATACAATGTACAGTAAACTACGTTTTTAACGAACACGCTTATAACGAACTGACGGATATAACAAAATGCGTTTTGATCCCGTCCATTTGCTGTATATATGCATATAATGAACTACAGTTATAACAAACTAAAATTAGTGGTCCCTGTGTCTTCGTTACAACCGTAGTTTACTGTATTTTTTTAAAAATCACTTCAATAAAAATTGCTACCTAATAGAATATGATGTGTGCTATTTTCTTTATAGGACAAATACCATTCCCGATTCACTGACTTCCCATCCCTCCATATCCCCCGTGCTCACATGCCCCAACGGCTTTCCGACTCCAGTGACAGCAAGTACAGACGCCGCCCTCCACACAACACGTTCCAGCGAGACCTCACCCACACAGTGGAGAACTTCCGGCGGAACTCCTACATGCAGGGGTCCTCATCACACATGTGACTATGGACGTGGAGTTCGGGGCTGGGGAAGGGCATCTACCTACCATCAAGTCTTAGGGAGGAAGAGAGCACGGTCCTGTACTGATGTCACTGCAGGCTAATGTCATCCCAGGCTAATGTCATCCCAGGCTAATGTCATCCTAGGCTAATGTCACCCCAGACTAATGTCATCTCACCCCAGACTAACGGTTATCTCATCCCAGATTAACAGTCATCTCACCTGGTCCTGTGTTAACGGTCATCTCACCTGGACCTGTGTTAACGGTTTTCTCATCTGGTCCTGTGTTAACGGTCATCTCAACTGGTCCTGTGTTAACGGTCATCTCAACTGGTCCTGTGTTAACGGTCATCTCACCTGGACCTGTGTTTATGGTCATCTCTCCTGGTCAAATGTTAATGGTCATCCTACCTGCTACAAAACATGGGCCTAATGTAAATGCTCATATGTGCTTAAATACAAAATGGCTACTTTCACAGGTTATCATCAAACACAGAATGTTGAAGCTGGACTTTTCCTTATGGTTCAATAAGAAAGTCATCTCACATATCAGACAAATCCAACTTCAACCAGACAACACATTGTAGTGTACTGAGGAGGCCTGTGGCCACCACAAGGAAACAAGGTGTGTAATGACCCTACTGAGCACGGCCCCGTCCCAAAGTGATCGTAGCGCTAAGATGATCGTTAACTCCTAATCTTAAACATAGGCTTATGACAGTCGTGAAAAGGGGCCCTGGACACTGAACGTTGCCTGATGAGGAATTAGAAGTTACTACTGAACACTCCACACTGAGATGAGGATGCTGAGATTATGAACAGTGCCTTCAAGGGGTGATGCTGGGTAAAGATTTGTTAAGCATGAATTTGTGATGCTGAGAAGTGTGCCTTGATGCTTTGTGCTGAATCTGCCCCAAGTTGTCAGAACAGATGAATATTTTGATGCTTTTCTCCCCATAGAAAGGTGCTGAACAGGTTTCTGTGTAGGTCAATGCTTCTGTTGACAATATGCTGACCTTATCAAGACTGAGCCTCCCTTGTTCCAAATACATTGTCCATGCTTGTGGGCATCTGTGAAACTCATGTGTTACGACTCATCCTATCCATGTTGAAACTATCAAAATGGTCATCACTCTGAACAGGTGCCCTTGTTTCTGACACTACATAACGATATGCATGACTGTATATGAAAGATGGTCCTTCTAATGCTGAATGGCTGCAGATGCTGTGTCAGCATCATGATGAAAATGCTCAAACTAGTTTGTACCATCAACCTGGGAAAAGGATTCTCTACATAAACAAGCATACAAACTCCTATTGCTGCCATGACCATAACGAGATGCGCAGTAAAGCAGTGCACATGTAAAGGGAAGTAACTGCATGCTATATTGGATTGTATTGTTTTAAAGTATAAGAATTATTAAAAAAAGATTTGGAGAATGGAAATAAAAACGAAATGTGCAGCGGACTTTATGATGATGCGGGCAGTGCCTGAGAACCAAGACTGTTATTATTTTAACCTAATACTTGTCAGCCTGGGGACAGCTATCCTTTGTAAATAGGTTAAAGACAATCTATAAATAAACAAGAAGATAGTTAACAGTATAAGCTCCTTGAGAACAGGGATTACGTAATTGAAATACAGAAACTGTCTTTTTCCAGGGACTTATTTAGTCCTGCTCAGAAGCCAAGTGAACGTTCCCAGTAATGTTATAGTTGGGTTGCGGTGACTTGGATGTCACTGAAAACAAGAGTGATAAAGAGGAAGAGTCTTAGTTTTACCTCTGAAATTAATTGAAAATAAGAGCTTATAAAAACATCTCACATTTTTAACTAAATACAAGATACCTGTTGTTTACCAATTTGTCTGCCAAGGGGACTTAGCTTGGAGTCCTAGAGCTGCTTGTACATGTTAATATCTTGATCTCGACCTGACCGAGGCTCCATCTACACGGCTCTTTACATACGTTGAACAGTTGCTCCATCATTTCTGAAGTAAGCCAAATGATGCCAAATATCACAGATCTCTGATGTGTAATAATAATATTTAGTTCTTCCAGCTAAGCTGAACTGAAGTATATATATTTACATGATGAAGAGTTTTAGAGCTACTAACAGTTGCGAACTCAAAATACAATGTACTGTTTTGTTCTGTCTCATTCAATGACCTTCACCAAAGCTTTCTCTTGATTGTGTACAAAAGTACATGGAACTGTTTATGTGTTTTGAACATTATCTTGGAGATGGGCAGAGCTGGTACCCCTTGAACCTTCAAGAGCTAACTGTTTTATTGGTTTTCTAGAAGTTGGTGAGTAAGTAAGAAAACGTACAACTTTATGGATAACCACTGGTTTATTGCATATAGTGACATTCCGATGTAGATTCTTACACCGTTATCAAGCTGGAAGTAGTGTTATCACTCCAGCTTAATAACGGTGTAAGAATCTACATCGGAATGTCGCTATATGCAGTAAACCAGTGGTTATCCATAAAGTTGATGCTCTAATTCAAAAGGTGTTTTGAGCTTGGTAACCTTTATTCTATGAATAATGGTCTTTCAGGGTCAGGGTATGGGGGCACATTTTCTTATTTTCATGTTTCACATCTCACACACATTTATAATTTTCTTATCGACTGAAAAGAGAAGAAAATGTTTTTAGAAAATTATTAATGGAACCCAAACCATCGTCAATTCTTAATTTGGAGGAACATTTGGTGGTTGATTAAAAAAAGCCAAATTTGTTACTGTTATTACTTTGACAAACCATCAGACCAAACTTTAAAACTTGAATGGGCAATGAGAATAATCACTGAAACATGATAATCCTTCAGTGGTGTAGATTTCCTGAGTCTGGATGAATAAAAAAAACAAATTACTCTTCATTTCTGAACTATACATGTAGGTCATGGCCGCATACTTCTGAAGCTGGGCACATCAATATCATAGAAATTGATCATTTGACATATAAGTATTAATTTCAAACAGAAGCTCTGCTTAGTCTGGAGAAGTCTCCACTTAAAATATTAATGTAATAAACTACAAGATGATAATTTTGAACATTGCTTCAAAAATTCATAGTCTCTGTTTCAATAGTTTTTTGTGTATTTGGATCATGCCTGTGATGAAGAAATATTTCTTTCTTGTTTTTTTTAATATTATTTTTCAAAAATGGACTGATTCCACCCAAAAGCTCTGCCCTGCATTGCTCTGTTGTATGCATGTACGTATACAGACACTCCAACTAGTCTAGTCATCCTTCAAGCTTCAATGAAGACTGCTGTGATTCTACAGAGAGAGGAGCATGTCATTTTCATCATGAAACAGACTTTTAATTTTTTTGAAGATCAAGTTATATTTTTTTCAGAGTATTAACAGGGATTTTGCATTTATTGATTCCACCTTGAGCCAAATCAAAAACATTTCATATGTATTATTTATCATTCATTTCTTATTTATTTCATAAGTACATGTATTAAGGTTAGTATAAACATGTATATCCAATAACAACTTTTATACACTATTGGACTATTTTAATGTTTAAGGAAATCATTTGTTTTGAGTTTTACTCAAGTCCTTATATATATCCAACTTAAGAAACATGGGAATGATTGGTGGTTGGGAATACATGCTGGAAAGACATGCAACAAGTGGTTTGATTGGCTAATGTGCTATAAAAATCCCTAATATGGATAATGCTGTACAATATAGTGTACTGGTAGCTGACAACACATAATCATTTTACTAAACATTGGTATTGTGACTATGGAAATCAAGCTGCAAAAAATAATACTGTTTTTAAAAAAGAAAAAGATCAATAATTTTAAATTGTATTAGGGTTTCTGTTTTATATTGTATATTTGTGTATATCTATATTTCAATTCTCGGGATTACCTCTTGATATCTGTTTTGTACAAAGACTTATATGTATCTATATTATTACATGTGCTGTACTGACATGTATCATATTGTACAAGATGGTAAGCTTGTGTCACATTGTACAAGATGGTAAGCTTGTCTCACATTGTACAAGATGGTAAGCTTGTCTCACATTGTACAAGATGGTAAGCTTGTCTCACATTGTACAAGATGGTAAGCTTGTCTCACATCGGGCAAGTTATCAAACTTTGGGGCTTTCTTGCACACAAAATATATATAAGGTATGTTGTTCTGTCATTTGTGTGCATGTATTGCTTCAGTTTGCAAGTCATGAGAGTTCAGTTTGTATCTGTGTAGTGCATTTGGCTAAATGAGTAAGGCATGCCTGTTTCCTGACCCCATTCTACAAAGTGATCTTAGCGCAAGGATTGTCTTAAGTCTGTATTAATGTATGGTTTGCTTGTTTCTTTGTTGTTTAATGTCACACTCAGCAATATTCCAGCTATATGATGGCAGTCTGTAAATAATCAAGTATGGACCAAACAATCCAGTGATTAATATCATGAGCATTGATCTAACCAATTGGGATACGATGACATGCATCAACCAACTCAGCTAGCCTGACCACACGATCCCGTTAGTCGCCTCTTACGACAAGCATAGTCGCCTTTTATGGCAAGCATAGTCGCCTGTTACTAATGTATGGTAGTTACAGTCACCTTAACGCTAAGAATGCTTTTGTGTAACGGGGCGCTGGGCCTAAATGGACAACATATATTCTGATGAAAAGCAGGAGCAAGTCAGGTTCTGTGACATGTACCCTAGGCTTAAAGCAACTTCAACCATGAATTGATGTTGAACTTGGATGCAAGATGTTATAGTGTTGGACTAAAATAATATTTGGTTATCAACACAAAATAGAGATAGACTTCAGGACCCACTGACACAAAGTGACCAAAGTACTAACGCCAGTTAAACAGTTCTTAAATAGTCCTGGCGCAAAATGGACGTTAGCCTAGTGGTAAAAGCGTTCACACGTCACGCAGAAGACGGTTCGATTCTGTGTGAAGCCCATTTCTGGTGTCCCCTGTTGTGATATTGCTGGAATATTGCTAAAAACGGAGTAAAACCACACTCACTCACTCACCTGGCGCTAAGACTGCTTTGTAAAAGTGGGTCCTGGATTTCAGCCCTGGCTTGTTTTACAACTGCCTTCCCTGTTATCCATCTACAGCCACCTCTGGTGCTGCAGTTTGGTCCTGCATAGTTCCTATCTTAGGCACTCTCGAAGGACATTTTGAACATGTTTCCACCTTACAATTACACTCAGAATCAACTTGCAAACATGGTTGGTTGATCTCAGATTAAGTGCTGAATTATATTTAATTCATAGTTTATAATTTGCCATCTATGAATATCTCGTGACCATGTTGTCTCGTGTACCATCCATGTCATATTAGGCCAACAATATTTGCCTTATTACAAAGGTTTGGCAGTGACTTGATGGTATTTGACATTTTCATATTCCTTGGAGTTTGTAATTCTGGAGAAAGAACAAAATGGAGTATGTCTATGGTATTAAAGTTTGAACTGAAAACCGTTTTTGTTTGTTCTTTACCAAGGCTGTGTTTAAGGCTCAATGAACATAGGATGTTGACTGTCTTCACTGACGAAGTTTGAAGGAAGAGGTGTAGAACTGATTGTCGTTTGTTTGTTAATGCTGCGCTCAGCAATATTCAATCTATATGACGGCGGTCTGTAAATAATCGAGTCTGGAATCCAGTGATCGACATCATGAGCATCGATCCATGCAATTGGGATTCGATGATATGTATAAACCAAGTCAGCGAGCCCGACCACCCGATACCATCAGTCACCTCTTACGACAAGCATAGTCGCTTTTTGTGGCAAGCATGGGTTGCTGAAGACCTATTCTACCAGGATCACAGTCAGAGGTGTACAAAAAATCTTACATGTTTGTTATGTGTGTTCCATTGTGAAGTTACCCTTTTCATTAGCTGTACAGTTTGTTTGTTTGTTGTTTAACATTGTACTCAGCAATATTCCAGCTATATGACGGCGGTCTGTAAATAACTGAGTCTGGAATGGACAATCCAGTGATTGACATCATGAGCATTGATCTATGACATGTATAAACCAAGTCAGCGAGCCTGACCAGCTGATCCTGTTAGTTGCCTCTTACAACAAGCATGAGGACCAATTCTAACCTGGAATCTTCTGGGGACTCATGAGCTGTACAGACAAACATAAGCGCTTCACATGTAACAGCATCGGCAGGATGAAAACATTTGAGTTTGAAGGTGTATGTCTTCTTGATTTGACCAAGATCATCACCACATGTTTTTCATGAACACTATATGTATACATATATAACTACTGTTAGTCCTGTTAATATGACAACACATACACATACATTTGTTAGACTGAAAGGCACGGAAGAAATAACAACGATCATCTGGAGAAAAAAAATTTATGAGTATATGTAGTTGAA